TACTTGTCGGTCTATGATATTCTTCCGAGGTTCTGAAAAGGAAAGTCTTTTCTATATTCTTCAATATAAGCCATTTGGAAAAAAGTAGGTTCCTGATTCTCATTCAATAATTTCAATTTCAGTAGTTTTCAGATCACTGTACAAAACCTTACTTTTATCACCATACCCCACTTATCTTGGCAGTTGGCTCCTTTCATATTCAGGATTAGTGATAAAAGTATTCAACTGTCAAATTGCAGTGTATTGAGGCTTAAGGTATTCGGAGAGTGGTTTAGGTATGGAAACCATACATCCAGCTTCATTCGTGTCAAATTCAAGTTGGTTGATGCAGCAAAGGAAAAGCACGATGTGGACAAGAGAAGAGAACAAGAAATTTGAGCTCGCTATTGTAATCTATGATGAAAAAACTCCCTACAGATGGCATAAGGTGGCATCCATGATCCCTGGTAAATCAGTTATTGATGTGATAAACCAGTACAGGAAACTGGTGGCAGATATTACTAATATTGAAGCTGGTTTGGTTCCGATTCCAGGATACTTGGCTGCTGCTTTCACATTAAAATTGGGAGAAAATCGTGATTTTGACGCTTTTAGGAAGAGAGGGAGGTCTTGCGATCAAGAAAGAAAGAAAGGTGTACCATGGACAGAGGAGGAACACAGGTGAATTTCCAATTCATAACATGTTAGTTCTTTAGCTAGATTGAATAATTTTAGTAACATCTTTTAGTCTGTTAGGCGTTTTCTATTGGGACTAGAAAGACACGGAAAAGGCGACTGGAGAAATATATCGCGAAATTTTGTGTTCTCCAAAACACCTACTCAAGTTGCAAGCCACGCTCAAAAATACTTTCTAAGGCAGCTTACTGAAGGGAAAGATAAGAGACGGCCAAGCATCCATGATATGACGACACCTCATCTCACACGCACCACCACCATGACTACTTGGTCAGAATCTGTCGATAAAAAACTTGACTCAACTGCCACTCCAAAAAAATTACTCAACTGGAACAACAAAAATGATGGCGCTTTAACAATATTAGACTCGATTGCATATCCACAAGATATTGCAAGATTTCATGGAAGAGCTGGGAGCAATATCTGTTCACTATACTATAGTTAAATGCATGCAAATAGTGGATTTGAAGTTAAGTGGCTATGTCCTGTTGAATTCGCTTTTGTGTTAAGTTAATGTATGCTATATGCTTATTGCAATCTTCTCTGAATAAACACTGTTGAATCATTCTGTATAACTCTACCTGTTTTGAGTTAATGCAGCTGTGTCTAAATTCCTTATTATTATCACCATTCTTTAGTCTGTTAACAGGGCAAGTGACCAAAGGTTCTTGAATCAGAAACTTGAATAAAGAGTTTAAGCCGTATTCATTTAAATCTCGTTTTCAAAATTTCGTCTAATTCAGTTGATAACTGACTGCAATTCCAGATTATATCTGATATGATGATATCTTGTTATTTTCTTTGAACCTTTCTGCCATGGTTTAAATAATGTAATCAAATAGGTGAATATGACTTTGGTCGATCGCCATCTGTAAATTGGGATCCTTTTAACGCTTTTCTAATGGTTTTTGAAGGCTGAATTCAATACATAATACAAGATTTCTGTGAATATGCTAATAGAAGACTTTTTACGATTTGCCTTGCCATGCTTCTTGCCAACTATTTATACAATATAATCACTTCATTTCATAGATATCAAAATCATTAACATCATAATTAAATATGTGAACCACTCTTGATTGTTACCATAAACTGGCTGTAAACCCTTTCAAAACCCCATAATTCATACAAGCAAACAAGACTACAAGGGAAACACTAAACGAAAAGAACATTTCTTTTTCCTTCACATCCAAGAGGCACAAGAAAGAACTAGAGGGTGGGGATACATGTGAGACTAAAAATGATCATTGGCATCAAAGCTACGTCACATATCTACATTTCTATAACAAAATGGAATCTACAGAAACCCAAAAAAATAATAATAATAATAATAA